CCTGTGCACTTCTTAGGTATCGGTTTTTGTATTTCCTTTTTCATCTCTGATCCTATTGATGCTTATCCCTCTTTTTTTGGATTAGTTGATCTAGTGGGGAATCTATTTTGTTGATTTTCTCAAAGAATCAGTTGTTAGATTCATTGATCTTATGTATTTTTCTTTTGGTCTCTATTTGGCTTATTTCATTTCTTTCTTTCTTTCTTTCCTTTTTTTTTTTTTTTTTGGTTACTTCTTTTTTCCTGCTAATGTTGAGATTGCTTTGCTGTTGTTTTTCTACTTCCTCCAAAGGTATGGTTGGCTTATTTACTTGGTGTGTTTGTAACTTCTTACATAATCATTGATAGAGATGACCTTTCACTTAATACTACCTTGATCATGTCCCCCAAGTTTTGATGTGTTGTCTTGATGTCTTCATTTACTTCAACCAATTTCTATTTCCCCTTTGATCTCCTCTCTAACTCATTATTTGTTTGGTAGCATTTTATTCAGTCTTCAGGTCTTTGCATGCCTTTGGGATATTTTGACATATTGGTCTCCAGTTACTCCATGATGGTCTCAGAAGATACATGGTATAATTTCAACTTTTTCAAATTTGCTGAGACTTGTTTTATGGCCTATAACTTGGTCAATCCTGGAAAAAATTTAATACACTGAAGGAAAAAAAATGTAGATATCAATTAAGTCCATTTGCTCTAGCATCCAGGTGAGCTCTGTTATTTACTTACTGAGTTTCTGTCCTGTCAATCTGTCCATCGATTTGAATGGGATATGAAGTTCTCCCACTGTTAACGTATTGGAATCTCTTTCTCCCCTTAAATCCATTAGAATTTGTTTCATGTAGCTAGGTGTTCTGGCATTTGGTGCATGTACATTTATCATAGTGATCTCATCTTGCTGAAGGATCCTTTGATCATTATGTGGTATCCTTCTTTATTTCTTTTAATGCTTTTCAGGTCAAACTCTATATTTTCTGATATAAGGATGGCAACACCAGCTCATACTTCTTTCCCATTAGCCTGGAATATTTTTTTCCATTCTCTCACTTTCAGTTTCCACCTACCAATGTTGGTGTGATGAATCTCTTATAGGAAACAGATAGGTAGATTTTGTTCTTTGATCCAGTCTACTAATCTATGACATTTAATTCATGAGTTTAAGCCATTTACATTCAGGGGTAATGTGGATAGATAGTAATCTGGTCCTGATATTTTAGCATTTGGTTGTTCAGTGTTTAGACTTAGTCATCTGTTGTCATTTCACTGGGATGTTATCCATGTTTGCCTTTGGCTTTTGGTAAGTGTTATTCCTTTTCTATGTCAAAAGAATATGTTTAAGCACCATTTGTAGGGTAGGTCAGGAAGAGGTGAATTCTTTGAGCTTTTCTTTACTGTGGAAGAATTTTATTTCATTTTCATAGGCAAAAGAAAGCTTTGCTGGGTAAGTTATTCTAGCCTGACAATGTTTCTCCTTTAAAATGTGGAATGTGTCACTCCATTCTCTTCTGGCCTGTAGGGATTCCTCTGAGAGGAATCTGTGGCCCCTCTCAGAATCTATGAATCTGGGGCTCCTCTCTATGTTAACTGATTTTTTTTCATGTGCATATTTAAGGACCTTTTCCTTATGTTCAACTGAAAAGAGCTTGATTATCATACATTGTGGTGAAGATCACTTTGGTCAACCCTACTGAGAGTTCTGTGCCCTTCCTGTATGTTGCTCCCAATTCTTTCTTCATATTAGAGAAATTGCCTCTATTGCTTCCCAGTGTCGGCAGGTCTCCAGGTGCCTCTGTGATATCAGCTTGCCCTCTCCTACTTCCTGGAACCTGTTGTCTCTGCTTCACCCTGGCTAATTATTCTCTGCCATTTTCTGGGTCTGTCCTCACCCTACTTCACCATCTTGCTCTCTCAGTACATATTCAGTTGTTTCTCTGCCTTCAGGCCAATCTCAAAGGCAGTAAGTGGAATCCTGGCTTATCGTTTAGCATTGGGTGTTATCCACCAGTGTGTTGGAGGGATAGTTCATGCTTTTTGACTACTTAAATGTTACTAGACACTGCTCCATGCACTTTCCTCATTTAATCCTCACAATAACTGTTTTCCTACTAAAGATATATTTTCATTTATTTGAAAGGTAAGTTACAAAGGGAGGGAGAGGCAGATATCCTCCAATCTCTGGTTAATTTCTTAAATGACCAAAACAGCCAGGTTGGTCCTTGAAGGCCCCATCAGAGTGCAGCATATATTTCATTTCCAGAATTATATCACATGCCCACACCTGGCTGTAGAGGATTCTGGGAAAACAAGTATTTCTGTTTTCCAGCCCAAAGAGAGGAGGGAGAGAACAGAAGATCAAGTTGGGAACAGGTGCTGGCTTATCCAGCCATCAGTGACAGCCACAAGTGGTATGGTTTGGTTAGGAAAATACCAAAAGCACTTCATCATACAAGTTAACCTTTTTTGAACCAAGGAAAGCTAAACAGCAACAAGTTCACTTCAAAACCAAAACAGAATTCTGCAACTTCTATTACAGTTTTTGATGTGTTTGATTCCATCCATTTCCTAATCCAATCTATATACGTTTGTGTGTAAAAACTGTTAGATATTCACACACTCAGATACTTTTTAAGATGTGCCATTTTTAACATTCATTTATTTTGATTGATTTGAAAGATGGAATGTTGGGGGTTAGGGTATCTCCTTTCCAGTAGTTAACACCCCAAATACTTAAAGCATCCAGGGGTGAGTCAGGTAAAGCCAGGATTTCCAAACTCCATCCGAGTCTGCCACATAGCAGCCATCATCTACCATCTCCCAGGATGGACCAGTAGGAAGCTGGATCAGAAATTAGGGAGCTGGATCAGTAGTGGAGCAGCTGGCATTCGGAAACCAGACTATCCAATATGGGATGCTGGCTCCCAAACAGAGGCTTAACCCACCACACTACAATACCTGTCCAAACTCACACTTAATTTTGCTATTCTTAAACTTTATAGCATATTATCTTTGTACAATTAATTAAACAAAGCAGCAATGTTCAATAGTTTTCAAATTGGATGGAAATTGAAATTCCACAGCAACAAGAAACTAGAAAATTCAGTTCTAAAAATATAAAATAGAATGTTCACATTTATAATCTATTTGATTTTCCAGTTTGCATTGGCTTTTCTGGGTCTTTCAGCAACTTTAATTGTAATTTTTTTTCTTGTATATTTTTGTCACGGCTCTCAAAACTCAGAAAACCTGTTAAAGCAACTACATGACTCGATGTAAAAATTCAGTTAACATATTGCTATGGAAACCAGGAAATAGAAACAGCACTCTAGACAACTATAGCTAAGTGTGTGTGTGTGTTTAAATTCACTTAGGTACCTTTTACTGAAAGCTGTTACTGGACTCAAAATCGATCATTGATCTGCCCATAATTAGGCCCAGGACCTTAGCATAAGTAAATAAGCATTTCAGTATGAACCTTAGCCATTATTAAATTATGCCATGTGGTATCAGGATACCTTTAGGATGGCTGTGTTTAGTTAGGCTCACCCGGCTGAGTGAGGTCTCTTGGCCTGGTATGGGTTACATGTGACCAACACTTAAAAGCAATTTTAAAAACAAATAAATGAAAAGCTGGGTTCCAGCTGTATAACCCTTAGGGAATCCTTGCGGACTCAGTTCCTTCATCTGACAAATGGTTCAATCAAGGAATCTCATAATGCGATTGGACCTTTCCTTTGCAACTACACTGGGGAACCATGAGCTAATCACCTGTGAGAACTGGAGCTGCTCTGTCCTGGCTCACAGGGTTGGCTGTACTTTCTTCTTTTTTTTTTTTTTTTTTTTTTTTGTAGTACTAAACAGCATCTGAACCTACCGAATGACTTATTTTTCCCAAGACTGTCAATTATTAACAGATCCCTGTCTAATCATATTACTGAAATTACTGAACAGGCCCTTTTGATAGCTGAGAGAAACTCAAGCTCTAACAGGCAAGGCGGTTCCTTAGAGCCTGCTCCTTTGGAGCATTTATTTCTGTGTACGTGGACATATATTTTTAAATGGAAAATATTTATTAATGAATCTTCATATGCCCTAATAAATTAACCCCTTAACAATTCACCAAGGGCCAAAACATATTTTTAAATAAGATTTCATCATACAAGTACATATCAACATACAAGAACTAAACTTTGGTTGTTTTACTTGTTCACTAATATTTGCTACGTTTTTCTACTCATGGAAAAAAAAAGAAAGAAAGAACCTGACGTCTCCTCAGGAATACATTCCTCTGTTGCTTCTCCCTCGCAGACATTCGAGTTATTATAGGAGAGGCTAATGCTGCGTCACAAAATCACGGGGAGCACGAGTCCACCCGCTCCCACCGCCGTGGCTGACAAGGAACGCCTTGTTCCCGCGGGGTCCCCAGCTCGCTCGGCCGGGGTCCGCGGCGCACGCTGACGCGCCCGTGGATGTGAGGGCGTCGAGCGCTCCCCGGCGCCCGAGCGCCAGGAGGGGGAGACTCGGGGCCGCTGCTCGGCCGCTCCTCAGCCCCGGCGGCTCCTCAGCCCCGGCGGCTCCTCAGCCCCGGCCGCTCCTCAGCCGCTCCTCAGCCTCGGCGGCTCCTCAGCCGCTCCTCAGAAGCTCCTCAGCCGCTGCTCGGCCGCTCCTCAGCCGCTCGCCAAAGTTCAGAGCGCCGGAGCCGGCGAGGGGGAGAGCGAGCGCGCAGCCGTGGCTGAGGAAACTTCGCCACCTAGAAAGTTTCACCTTGCCGTGGGCGGGGGCGGGGCGGGAGGAAACGCGACCCCCGCGCGCGGGGCGAGGCGCGGCGCGCGGGCGGGCGGCAGGAAGGGCGGGGACCGATTTCCCCCTCTGGGTGGTAGCAGTCCCCACCTCAGGGTCCAGGGCCGACGCGCCGCGGGCGAGACGGACGGACGGACACGTGCGGAGGGCGGGCGGCCGGGCGAGCGCCCGAGGGCCGGCGGACGCGCCCGGAGCGCGCGCCGGTGGCGGGCTGAGTCACGGCCGGGGCAGCGCGCGCGGTGGGAAGGGGCGGAGGGAGCGGCTGCGGGCGGGGCGCTGGACTTGGCCGGGCTCGGCCCCGGCCGCAGGTGACCCGGAGGCCCGTCGCCGCCCGCTGCGCCCGGAGCGCTTTTGTGACCAGATGTGGAGCGGGACGGACGGCGCGAGCCAGATGCGGGGCGACAGCTGACTTGCTGCGGGGCAGGAGGGGAGGCGCGGAGCGCGCGGGTGCTCCCCGCGCCGCCGACTTCTCCTCGACCAGTTCCTGAGCAGCGCAAGGTAAAAACTAGAACCGCCCCGAACATCCGCACCCCACCCTTGGTGCCAGCGCCTCTGCTTTCTTTGTTCCCCTTAACACTGTCATTCCAGTGGGCAAGTCAGCCCACGGAGATGGGCGAGAGTTACGGGGCGGTTAGAAACTGAAGGGAGTGGCCCACGGGGAGGTGGGAATGGACTTGGGTCTGTGGTTTTGGGAGGGGATGACTCCCTTCCGTCACCGGTATGTGCGGGTCGGGGGCAGAGGGGCGCCCGGGCCGGGCGTGCTGCCGGGCTCCGAGGGCTGGGAGGGCTCGGAGTTTCAAGGCTAGGATCTGACGCAGCCCTTCCCAGAGGGATCCGGTCACCCTGTGCCCGGGTGATGCAGGCGGCAGGGTTTGAAGCAAACTGTTTCCTTGTCCCCAAGCCTATATCGGTATGGTGTTATATGTATATGGGGTGTGTGTGTGTGTGTGTATGGAGTGGGAGGATGGATCTTCCCCGGGGCAGGTATCTGTGGAAATTGGTGAATTCTTCAATGTTAACAAACACGGGGCTGGCAATCCATCATTTTTGGCGTCCGTCGTCTTTTCACTGGGACTCTGGCGGGGGACATCTGTCTTAATAGGTGAAATAGATTATAACTAGCCCGAGGTCAGCAGCCTGGCTAGTGCCAATGCTGACCCAATCATGGAAGCACTGGTGCAAGAATTTTCCTGACTCTTGACTGGGTGGAATTCACTCCCAGGAGCGATTTCATCTATTGTGTTTTAAAAGAGGCGTTTGCTAATTTGGCAGTTGGTAGAGTTTGCAGTGGCTCACGCCTGAGTAGCTGCCCAGTGTATTTTACCTTATCACACTTCTGTGCTCAAAGAAGCCCTCGAACGAAATGAAATATTGCCAGCTCTCTTAGGCAGAACAGTCACGATACTGTAATTGCCAGGTGAAGCTAGTCGATGAGTTTGAGAGGATTGTAAAAACTGACAGGGCAAAGAAGACAGACCTTCTGGGCCCTCTGCTGAACTTCAGGATTGGTCACAGTTGGTAGCACTGGGTGGAGGTTTCCTCTGGCACTTCCAGCAGCCAGACACATGCACATTGCCATGCAAATCGATTCAGAAGAGCATTATTTGCCTTTGCAGCAAGACTATTATAGCTGACTAATGAATTTATTTCTGCATGAGGATGATCTGGAAATGAGGTACATCATGTTTTTCTGTGCTACTGGGACATAAATGGGCTTTTATGCAAGCAGTGTTAAGTGGTGCCTGGATTATTTACAGGTATATAGCTTTCCTTCTTAGCTGTAGGCATTCGGGGCTTTTGTTTTGTTTTGAACACATCAGCCTCCGTAATGGAACAGAAGTAAGGAATTCTTCCAACCTTTGCAAGTCTGTGTTGGATTCATTGTGCATTCTTTTGACCTGCTGAATAACACACGAGTGAAATTGACATCATCAGAAATTTTTGTGGTACCGAAAATGTGTCTGATTGCTTGTAAAATATAGTGGTGTTTAGAAAATTCCATTCAGTACTCAACTGTGCATAAGCCTGCATTACTTAAATAAAATTTGCTTTTAACGTGATGGGACTTATGACATAAAGAGGATGCTCTGTCAAAGACTGCTTTTTCAAAGATTGCTTTGTTCCTGATACATCTCAGTGGGGGTTACATTAGATGCACAATATGTGTTTTCTGAGTTAGTGCTTAAGGTTCATGTGAATGATGAAAATGTGCCAGGTTAACCAGACCCAGTGAAGAAGAAAACTTGTAACTACTGTTTTCACCACTTCTAAGCCTACACAATAAGATAAATGGCACTTTACTGAATAACAGAAGTACCCCATCATTTATAAATTCCTTTTACATGTTTTTGAACATATGTCCCACATTAATCTTGAGCATTTAAACAAGATTTCTTTTCATGAAGTCTAGAGTAAGAAACAGGTTTCCAAAATCAGTGTCCTTAGCTATTGCTAAATAGTTCAAAATAGAATTAGTCTTAACGTGGCTCTTGCAGACCTCCATAATTCTCTCAAATAAGTTTTCTTTCAAATGTAGCTTTCAAAGGGAGAGAGACAAACACTCTAAAGGACTAAGTGCTTCTCAGGACATTTGCTTTGTCTAGGAGCCTGCACCCAGGTGTTAAGAGGGGTAACTGGTGGAGCATAGCTCGTTACACATACATATCCCAGCTTCTGTGCTCCCTCCCAACCCCTTCTGTGCCCTGGTTTTTCCAGACCAGTTCCCCCATTCTCCCATTACTTCTCCACTGTCATTAGGCTTACTGATTCTCCCCAGAGCCATTCATTCTTTTTTCCTTCCCTAAGATTTTTCTTGATAAGCTGTGTGTGTGTGTGTGTGTGTGAGATGCAATTTCACAACTGTGCTGCCTGAAGGGAAGAAAATACGTGCAGAAGCTCAAGGGCTGGGGAATCACTCACCTTTTCCTGGTAGGCATAGGTTAAAATGGGCGCATGTGACACACAGCCCTCAGGGCTGAGTTGCTCAGTGCAGAATCAGGGCACTTCTGTGGTGGGCACAGTGACTCATAGCAGCTCAGGTTAACTTTGATCCGTGTTCCTGGTGACACCTAACTTGCTGCCCAACCCACACCTGCTTCGCCAGAATAACTAAGAACTCAGCATTGAATTGCATGAGTACCAGGTGATAGCAGATCATAGTGAACTTTGTCCTTGAAGAGTTTACAGACTCGATGTATGGACAGTTATCACACATATGAAATGAAACCAAATTTGTAACTACTCAGAAGACATCATACAAGAAAGACAAGTTTATAAATACCCTCCTTGGCTAATAAATCATGGGATTTTTATTTGAAATCAAAAGAGTGTAACTTAAGACCCTTAACATTTTCCAAATACTTCTTTTTCTGACCCTACAACAGTCATAAGAGGCTGGCAGAAATAGCTTAGTATTCCCATGTTATAGACTGGGAACTGATCTTGAACCTGGCTCCCCAGCCTTCTTTCCAGCACCACACCTGTCTGCCCAGTGTCAGCGAAATGTAACAACTGTGAGAGGCATTTTCCACCTAGGCAGAGGTAAGGATCCTCAGTTTGTCATAAAAAAATGAAGGTAGCAGTTCTAGTCCTAGGAGTTCTCTTTCTCTCTCTCTTCTCTCTTCTCTCCTCTCTCTAGTACTACATTCCAAGAAAAACTTGATTCATATGCACAGGCCATTCTGCTCCTGCTATCAGATTAAGACCTGTGAGTAATTTTGTAATCTGGCCTGCTATCACAAATCTCATTCTCAGATATCACTTCAGCTGTGTTAAACAGGGTAGTATAGCCCCCTTGGGTTTTGTTTCAATAAAAACATCTAGTAAAATCGGAATACTTTCCTCTTCAAGGGGCAAAATGAAGCAAGTGTTTTTATAAGCTGTAAAATGTAATTGAGAGAAAAGTCACATGTGTGGCGTGTGTAACAAGAGGCATGGACAAAGTGAAATAAAAGACAGTTTACTTTGTAGTCACATACGCAGGTATGCGTTCATTCTTTCTATAATTTTGTAAATTTGGGCAAGTATCCTTATGCAGCTTACTCCTGTTGATTTTTTTGATTTGTGTAATAGATTATGTAGCCAGGAGAAATTCATTCTAGTGTTCTGTAGAACAGTAGGTTAAATGTAGTGTGCAGCAGGCTGTGATATATTTTAGATTAACTAAAGAAGACTCCAGAGGTTTCCAACACATAGAAATAATAAATATTTGAAGAGCTGAAAGTGATAATTACCTTGATTTGACCATACACTGTATATACGTATCAAGTTTTTATGCTGTACGCCATAAATATAGATTCATACCAACATGTGTCAGATAAACAAAATCAAAGCATGTAGTTTTGGTCTCAAAGAAGTTATATAAGACCTGTGGGCCATGTAATTTATATAGTGAGTGAAAGAAATTCAAAATGTATTTCTCAGACTACAATAAAGGATAGCAATTATGACATGTGGTTAGAAAATCACAGGTTCTCATGGAAGGCCTGTTCCCGTTCTCCAGGAATGTGATTGAGGATTCAGTCATTCATTCAGGATAGTTTGTTCAGCACCTACCAGGCATGGACCTCAACTCTGACATGGCAGTGGAAATTGAACAGATAAGTCAGACAAGGATCTCTGGCTTTACCTGACTTTACGAGGCTTGGTTCTGCTGAAGAAGGCAAGCTATGAGGAAACAACGTAAATAAAATGTGTTGTATGTATGTTGGGGAATAATAAGAGTTGCGAAGAAGAACAGTGGTAAAGAGGAGCAAGGACTGGGAAGGATAACTGGGGCAGGGGGAGTGCTTGGAACAGTCAGTATGAGAACACAGAAGGGTTCCCTTCAAAGTTGACCTCTGGGCTAGGACCAGGATAGGAGGGGAGTAAGCCGTATGTCTCTCGGGAGCACTCCTTGGGGGTACCGTTGCCACTCCATATTTTTCTAGAATTGTTCAGGGTGCAGTTCACACAGCTGTCATCACAGCCCTTAGGTTTTAGGGAAGTACCTGCATAGTGCCTGCCTTAGCCTAGCTACAGTTCAAAGACGAACATGCAAAAGTGGCCACACCACTTGTTTTCTGGGGGCATGGATGAGAATCCATTGTATTTGCTCACGTGTGCCTGGTTTCACCTTCGGCCTCAGCCTCTCTCAGAGATGTTGCTGCATTCACACCTTTTCTTGATTTCCATACTGTGCTCCAGTGGTCTTTGTGGCCCAGCCCCTGTGTAGTCAATGGGAGACTCACAGGGGATGACCCCTGTAGGTGTGCAGCCTCTGTCTGCTGTGCAGTTTGTTCCTTCCATCTCCTTTTCCCTCTCCACTGTTAAGCCATTCTACTCAATTTTCTTCCTTCTCTGCTGTGCCCTATCAATGTCCTTTGGGAGGATTTGCAAACAAGTAACTTGAGTGAAGCTAACCGCTTCACTTAGAACTTCACAAATTGCTTGGAAAAAGTCCTACCCAAGAGAAGCATCTGGCATCATCAGTGTTGCCTTGGGGCCCAGTGCATGGTAGG